TCCTATGATCGAGGAGCACGGGTATAAATGGGCATTTGGTGTCTTGGCTGGACTGTTTGGTGGTATCTTCTTGCTGGGTATTCCTGTCTGTATCTGGAACCCGAAGTGGCGTGCTTATGTTGCTGAGAGGGAGGCTCGAAAGGGCACTACAACCACTGATTAAGGACTGGATTCGTGTGAAGATTTGGGCTGTACAATATAGTCTAGAGCAAGGCTCTGGGAAAAGCCAATGAGCCAAAAGTAATATGCTATGCAAACATTTTGTGCTCTTATGTAACCAAAAACTGTTTGCCCAAGTGTATAACCTCACCACGACCTAGCACAAGGGGTCCACGACTGTGACTCGTATTATTCAACAATTAGACACTATTCATCGCCTGCTGACTTAAACTTTCTCTTTCCGTCACTTTCCGATGAATTGTTGATACTCCTCTCACAGATATTTCGTTCGCTTGAAGGTCTCGGACTCACCCCTTTGTTCCCTCTTGGTGCCACTGCAATTACGTCCATCGCCATGCTTCACTATGTATCCACTTATTTCTAGACCTTTCATTACACAGAAGCTACGTTTACCAAAGATCCAATGTCAACTTCTTCCCTAAACATCTCGAAACACACGGCATCATACTCTTCCCCTCCGCTTTCTCGGAATGCGTAAGAACCACATCTCGATGATCAACAAGCCCATCAAGAACCCTCACTTCGCAAGTTCCACACACTCCAGTACTGCACGTCGAGAGCACTCCAGCACCTGCTTCATTGATCACCTCCAGAATCGATTTATCCTCTGGCACTCGCAAAATCTTGTTACTTCGGGCCAAAACTACATCGAACGAAGTATTTGGCTTCGTGTTTCCAGTATTATGTGCCGCGAAGCGCTCGAGTCGTAGAACTCCTGGTAGCGCGTCTGCCAGGGCTTCCTCGACCCCTGTGAGGAGAGCCTCTGGACCGCAACAGTATACTCGTAGATCGAGGAGGTCTTCTTGCTGCAGGTAGGATTTCAGGTCAAATCTTTTACCGTCGTGGTCTTGGCTGACCCAAAGTGTGAAGTGATCGCCATGTTCCTCTGTCAACTCGCTCACAAATGCAAGGCTGTTCTTCGATCGGCCGAGGTACAGAATGGAGTAGTCAACGCCAGACTCTTTCGCAGCTTCGGCCATTGGTATGATCGGAGTGACTCCGATACCTCCAGCGATGAATATTGTCTTACGAGACCCAAACTCGAGACTGAAGTGGTTGCGCGGTCCACGAATCAACATCTGGCTTCCCTTTGTGGCATTCTGATGGATCCAATTCGAAGCACCAGTATCGTTCTCTCGAAGTACTGCTATTTTTATACGCTGATCTTCAGAAGGCTTTGAGCATATAGAATATTGACGATAGCCAATAGTGCCAGCTTGGACGTCGACGTGCGACCCAGGAGACCATTTTGGTACCTTTGCACCGTCTCTGGGACAGAGGGTCAGGCGAATTATCCTCTCTGTAACTTTCTCGACGTTTCTCACGACCATCTCCAGCTCTTTTGTTTTTGCAGAAGCCCGAAGCGTGGAGTTGACATTGGCGTGGCCAACGTTGACGCGCAACTCATCTCGAGACGGCACATCCCATTGGATCTCGACTCTTTCTGGTCCACGACCAGCATGGACCCTACAGTACTGAATCTCTTCATATGGTGTCCTGAGCCTCAGGTTTGGCAGTCTCTCTTTCAACACCGCAAGCTCTGTTCGTAGAAGAAGCCGTGCAAAAGGTGCACCAAGACAAGCATGAATGCCGCGTCCAAAACCAAGGTGCTGGTGCTTATGCTGTCTATTCAAGTCCAGTTTATCGGGGTTGTCGAATTTTGTGGTGTCTCGACTTCCTGAATTATATGCAACGAAGAGCTTCTCTCCAGGCTGGACGGTGTGATCTCCGATCTTTGACTCTTCTTTAACGAGACGTTCCATTCCGGTAATGGCAGACTCGTATCGAAGAAGTTCTTCAATCGCAGTTTTTCTTGATTCTTCATCTTTTGTGGCGGTGTCCCATAGGCCATGGTGTAATAGATGGGATATCCCCATTGAGAGAAGATTGGTGGTTGTCTCGTGTCCAGCCAAGAGAAGTCCTGGAATCATGCTGAGATGCTCATAGTCTGTCATCTCGACCACTCCAGCGTCTCTTCCATTCCAAATATGACTGATCAGATCATCTCTTCGATCTGTTTTGCGCTCTTGGATGACTTCAGCGACATATTCGTGAAGATCTAATACATCTTGAACTCGCTGCTCAATGCTCAGCTCCTCGTTCGTCTGGGTAATCCCACCGAATAGCGCGAGACATCTCCCAATCCACTGCCATCGCGATGGGTCTAGACCAGCAACTATGACGATAGTCCGTAGAGGTAATGGAAGTGCAAAGTTGCTCTTGATATCAGCACAACCCTTTTCCACAAAACCGTCTATCAGATCATGAGCTGTTGCTCTTAACAAAGGCTCAAAACGCTCTAGTCTTCTAGGCACGAAGAAAGATGCTACACTCTTTCTCAGCCTATCATGGTCAGGGTTGTCATACGCGAGTAAAGTCCCCCTTTCCGGGACCTTGTTTGCGAAGATTTGCTTAACCTGTGGTGGGAAATCGGGTACAGTGGGCCTTGAGCTGAAAGCACCGGGGTTATCTAGAACTGATACTATATCGTCGTACCGAGAGATGACATAGCCTCCGAGTTTGTCGCTGTATTCTATACTTGGTGTTTCTCGGGCTGTGGCGAGGTCCTCGAAGAGGTTTTTTGGGTTGCTGAAAGGGCAGGCCATCGTGATAATTGGGCATATCAATTTATCATTGCGTTAAATAATCTATTCTATCGTGTTTTTTTTTTTTTTATCAAATTGTCTTATATGATTGACAGCAGATACCGAGTTGTCTTCTCATCCAGCCGGGTCAGTTCGGCCGGGGCTGTTCAACGGAGGAGAAATGGGGGGCCGATCCGAGAGCGTCGACCGAACCGAAACCAACCGAACAATCGATATCAAGACTGGACATCTCGAGTTCCAGTATTTATCTTATTCTCTTATAGTTCGAAAGTCCTTCTGTGGGCTTCTTTCGTAGCTCGATCTGCCGCCTGACGACCTTCCTCGAAGAACTATCAATCATCTTCCTATCATTAGGGTCTACGTTAGGTCTCAGCCAAAGTATACTCCGACAAACGAGACTTGTAGCATGTAAGAGTCTCTTTTCCACTGGATATTCATGTCACAAATGAAGACTCTAGAGGAGTTGAACAATGGATGCTAATTTGTAAAAAAAACTAAGAACGCCGCCTTGTCTCAGTTGACAGACTGTGTGTGTCAGTGAGTAAACTCGCCATGCCCAACAGCGCTTCTAAAGGGCTTCGTAGTTCATTCTTCGCGACACATGTCTCCTTTTCCAGAAACTCACCTCTCACTATCAATGCATCGAGGCTGTGATTGGTTAACGTAACAATGTCGAAGTGTCTCAGACCAGAGATCGTCTGCAAGCCAAAGCTACATAGAACTATCGTTATCTCCATTATTACCGACCGTCTACCTAGAGCTGAATCTTGTTGCATGAGTATCTGCATCTGCCAAATGTTGTGTGTGGTCTTGGCGGTGTCTACGGATTTTGGGCAACTTATATCCGATGCTGTACATTCATCCATCCTGCGCTAACCTCGTCTCGTATTCACTCATGTAAACCTATCCAGACTATCGTCATGGACATATTCATCAACATTTCGAGAATTCATAATCTGATAAAGAAGGTATTATATAAAAGAATACGATTCCGTAGTTTGTAGACATTGATCCAATACCATCAAACAATTGCCTCTCAAAACCATCATGACCTCAAACAACGCTGCTTATCTCGTCGCTGAAAAGGCACCTCTCGAGGTGAAGCCAGCACCATACCCAGAACCTAAAGATGACGAGCTCATCATCGAGAATCATGCAGTAGCTCTCAATCCTGTCGATTCAGCCCAGCAGAGACTTGGACCCTCTATCTTCCCCTGGCTCAAGTTCCCAGCTATTCTTGGCTGCGATGTCGCGGGACGTATCACAGCCGTTGGCTCTGATGTTACCACGTACAAGATCGGCGACCGTGTGATTGGATATAACATGGGTACCTATCAGGAATATGTTCCTGTCAAAGAATACTTCTGTGCCAAACTCCCTGATAACATTGGCTTTGCAGAGGCAGCGGTGCTTCCGCTTTGTTTGAGTGTTGCTGTCAAGACATTGTTCCATCCTGACTACCTTGCGCTTGACCTCCCTACTGCAGAGACCAAAGCCAATGGAAAAGTCATTCTCATCTGGGGTGGATCTACCAGTGTTGGCTGTAACATCATCCAACTTGCAAAAGCAGCTGGTTTCGAGGTTATAACCACCGCCTCGCCCAAGAACTTTGGCTACCTCAAGAAACTCGGGGCCAGCCAGACCTTCGATTATAACTCCCCAACCATCAAGGAAGATCTCCTCACTGCAGTCAAAGGAAAGGTCGTGGCCGGTGCCATAGCCAACGGCGGCTTGGACGTCTCGGTTTATCCTTCAATCGTGGACACTTGTGCAGCTGTAGCCCTGAGCTCGCCAGACAATTGCAAGCTTGTCCCGCTCACAATGGTCCCGCGATTTCCAGTCCCCGATGGTGTTGAGACCAAGTTTGTCGTTCCTTTGGCGACTGATAAAGATCTTGCTTCGTGGATCTTCAATGATTACATCTCAGAGGCGCTGGCAAGTGGAAGTTTTGTGCCGGCACCTGACGCAGAGGTTGTTGGTCATGGACTTGGGAGTCTTCAGTCTGCTTTGGACACTCTTGATGCTGGTGTATCGGCCAAGAAGATTGTTGTTGCTATGAAATGAGAGGTTGATAAAAGAGCCGACACAGTGGCATATCATTTGGTAGCAATGGAAAATAGTGTGATGCTTCATCATCAACTCCTTACTTGAGCCACCATCCTCATGTGACGTTCAACATATTGCCCTACCCACCTGCTCAATCCCTGAAGCCCGTCACTTCTCACTAGCCAAAGCCTTAACGACAGCCTCAAGCGCCCCCCGATCCGCGCCCCTAATCCTATCAACCCTGCCATCCTTCGTGAACGCAACAGCCCTGCTGTTCACCCCCTCAGCCTGCACACCCTTCGCAACGCCATTCTCAAAGAACACAAAAGTCGGCATAGCGCTGATTCCATACTTGGCTGCAACATCCTTCACATGATCAGTGTTGACCTTGGCAAAGGCAAGTTGTCCCTCTGAGGCGTGGGCGTCTGCTAGGTTTGAGAATACAGGCGCGATGGCGCGGCACGGCGGACACCAGTCTGCGTAGAAATCAACTACGACGTGTATGTTTGATGCGAGGACTGAGTCGAGCTCCGACGGGGCGGAGATCTTGTAGACCTTGCCGGATGTTTCGGGGATGGGTGAACGATCCGCGAATACGGCCTAGAGGTGAGTGAGTTTTGGTAGTTGTGATTAATTACTCAGCTAATTTACTTACCTGGGCAATCATGAACAGAGCCAAAAGGCCGAAGACGATGTAGATTGTCTCCATTTTATTTCGGGACCTTAATTCATACGCTGTTGAAGGATCACAATGAGACTTACCGTGAGGTGCTTGTGTTGTTCATTATGAACAGACATGACAAAGGTCGCATCACATGACCAACTTGGCACGCCATCAGCCAACGTCCAACAAGTAGCATCCCCATCATCTCTTCTAAATTGTACGTAACATACGAAGTAGATGGATTGAAATCTTGCTGTTTTACAAAGAGCTGGGACATTAGCCACTGTTGTTTATTAACTGTAACAAAATTGAAGGATCTTGAGTTGTTTTTGTTTGGTTCATTCATCAATGTTAATTACACGGCATTCCAGAGAACGGAAAACCCAGTATTGCAACAACTTTCACATAGCGGTAAATAATATCCGTACACAGCCAATTCTGAAATGAAATGACCTTATTCATATAGAAGAATGGTATTTACTATGAGCAGTACTTCTATAAATCCTGTTGCAATTAAAATTGGATGTCATACGGAATAGAGGCCGATTACCCTATAGACACAATACTTGCAACTTGAGAATTGAGAAATTAAAGTCCTTTTATTATGGTCATGTCTTTCATCGTAAAGTCTATCCTTGATCCAATCTTTCAAAGATGCCAAAGGGGTATGATGAACAGAATCAGAATGCTCGCAACAAAACATAAACGCCTGGGCTGACCTCAAGCAGACGCACGCGCTGAGTCGGCCAGCCCAGTCAGTCAAACCCAGATCCGCATTGCCCCGTACTCCTGTCTTGCTATGCAATTCACTGACATTCCAACAACCATGTCGCCCTAAATGCTGCAATGCATCGTTTTCTCCCAGGTAACCGCGGGTTTTCCTGGCTCCCCATAAATCCTTGCGCTGTCCACCACTTTCTACACTTCTATTCTTCTTCCTTCTGTATTGGTACCGTCTAACCCAAAAGCTCTGTACCGAAGCGAGCATGTACTCTGCAAAGGTCTTATTAGGCCCAGCCCAGCATCTCGAGGGTTCCTCGAGCGTCCGAAGCTGCCATGCCACTGACAGCAAGCTGCTGGGCAAGAGGGCTCTTTCGGAGACGCTGGAGCCCGGTAGATATCTTCCAGCTTTCCGACTCGTCGATAACGAACAGGTATCGTTTTCCTTCTCGGTTCGTGGCCCGTAGTAGGTGAAGGCCTTTGGATTTCCACTCTCCAGTCTGGCCAGTCGAAGACGTAATGTTAGTATCTCGAAATGTACGATTGCATAAACCAAGACGACAACAAGTTTTGCATGCGCGCAGCATCTCGGTCAGGTAAACGTCGGCCTCTTCACCTACGAGAGGTTGAGTTGCTCCACGATCGCGTGCTCGAGACGAGGCCATTTTGTAAAGCAAAGGGTTCGGTTTGGTACCGGGGGCGGGGGAAGAAGCAGCAGGCGATTTCAAGCAATGTGGGGGGCACCATACCTCTACTTGTTTCAGCGTCCAAGTTTTGACGTCCCATTCCCGCTGTGGTACATTTCGGACGTCATCATCGATAAAAAGGCCTTCGGTTGTCACACGGAGGATGAGTCCGTCGGTTACAGTTCCCACACCCGAGATAAGTTGGCTAGCGGGCGTCTTGGAGAATTGGTTCATGAAAAGGTAAACACCTGAAATGACAATCTTGTCAGGATCCTTGGTTGAATAGGGACCAGCACGTGTCGAAAGAGGCGGCGTTGTTCGACCAGTAGTCTGCGATGCAGCCCACGACGATTCAGAACCAAGCGAAGACACAGAACCCCTACGCTTCGGTTGCTGCTTGGGCTTGTCGTAAGGTCGATACGAGTTCTCCGTGCTGACGCCAGAAACGTTGGACTTGGCGGCGGAGGGTACAGGACCAGGCTTTCGTTGAGAAGAAGCGGCGCTTGGAGGTGGCTTGGAAGTAGAAGAGGTTGTAGACTTGGGTGCAGCTGGTGGGCGACCGTTAGGCCACATGCTGATCTTCTCGCCAACACCCGAGTAGGCGTAACTCATACGTTGTCGATCTGCAGTTTCCCTTGCAGCTCTTTCTCTCTCAGCCTGTTCCTTTTCAGCCTTTTCTTTCTCGGCTTTTTCCCTCTCGATCCTCTCCTTCTCAGCCTTCTCCTTCTCCAATCTCTCCTGCTCTCGCTGTTTCTCGAGCTCCTTTTGTTTCTTCTCTTCTTCTCGTCGCTTAGCCTCCTCGGCTTCCTTTTTTCTCAAAGCCTCTCGTTCAGCGGCAAACTTCTTTCGTCTTGCTTCGCGCTCTTCGGCTTCCTTCTTCTTCTTCTCCTCAAGTTCGCGAGCCTCCTTTTCTCGTTGTGCTTCTCGCTCACGGGCTTCCTTGGCTTCCTTCTCCAGGCGTTCACGTTCCCTGCGCTCTTCCTCGAGCTTGATGGCAAGTTCCTTGGCCCGCTGCTCAGCTTCGAGGCGCTCCTTCTTATCACGAGCCTCTTGCTCCTTGCGCTGCCTCTCCTTCTCCCTTTCTTGTCGCTCCTTGGCGTCCTTGGCCCTCAGCTCAGCAAGTCTCTTTGCGGCCTCTTCACGTCGTTTTTGCTCGGCTTCCCTGACTTTGCGCTCCTCTTCCTTCTTCCTCATCTCCTCGCGGGCCTTTTCCCATGAACCCTTTTGTTTTTCACGCTCAGACTTTTCAGCTTTGGGTGTAGGAGCCGGTTCTGGTTCTGGCTCTGGTTCTGGCTTGGGTTCCGGTTTGGGTTCCGGTTTGGCCTTGGGCTTTGGAGGAGGAGGGGGAGTCTCAGCGCGAGGCTTTGGTGGAGGAGACGGCTCTCTTGGAGGATCTCTTGGCGGGTCTTTTGGTTTGGATTTGGACTTCTTTGATTTCGGTTTCGGGGGTGGCGTTTCAGGAGGCGTCTGTGGTTGGGGAGGTCGAGCCTGTGGAGGTGGTCGAGGAGGTGGCTCGGGTTCATCTCGCGAAGTGGGTTGAGGCTCTGACTGCGGCGGAGGACGTTCTGAATGTGGCGAGCCATGCCAAGATGTCTTGGGTCCATCATGAGGCGGTGGCCTCGGGGGTGTATCATGATGAGGAGGTGGTGGAGGAGGAGTGCCATGAGGGGGAGGGGGAGGAGGCGCTCCGGCATTTGCTGAGCGGAAGCCCGAACTCCATCCGCCTTGGTTATCACGGCCAGAATTTCCTGGACCGCTAAAACCACCTCCGCTACCTGGAAACCCCTTATCTTGATTTTGGAAACGACCAAGTGCCCATGCACCGAAGCCAACACCCACAACCAGCATTGCCATTGCCATGTTTCCTAATCCATGGAAGCCTTCCCACCACGTACGGAAAGCAGGCGCCAAAGTCTGGCCAAGGACCACAAGGATAAGAGCTGAAGCGAACCCAGCCGCGAAACTGTTCACATTCGGTTGCATGGATGGCAAATACAAAAATCCGCCTCCAGAGGAGTGCTCAGGGATAACAAAAATGTCATATTTTCCCGGAGGCAAGCCAGAACCCTTTGGCACTCCGCCATGAGGCGGAGGCGGCGGAGGGGGACCGCTCATTCTCGACTGTCAGCTCGAGTAGGTTGTGTTCTAGTATTGGCTCCTCGGACTATGGAGTTTTCGGAGTCGCAAACGCAGACGAAATCGATGGTTTAGGGGAGTCTCGAGGAAGCCATTAAGGCTATTTAGTGTGATTGGAACTACGAACAGGTCAGCGGATGCCATCCACATGTTTTGTCACAGTGAACGGCAACCTCCCAAAACCACTGAACTTGAGAAATGAGGATTGAGAGTCGACAAAAACTTCCGTTCCCGAGTGGCTGGGGCCAGGTTACGGCAAAGGGAAACGAGGTTGGACAAGACAGAACTCACGCAAGACAAAATCGGGAGTACAGGGGATTGGATCTACTCGAGGATCCTGAGCACAAAAAAGACCGTTGCAAAAAGTATCGGACAAAGAGCAACGAAACAGAAGCGACCGCTTGTGATACAAAATGACAAAGTCCTACTTGCTCCAACTTCGTGCAGGTGCTGAAGGTTTGTACGGCGAGTCGGTCAGGTCAGGGACGGACAGGCGAGGGGAGAGAAAAAAAACCAGGATGTCGAGAGTTACGAGGAAAGGAGGAAGACACAGGAGGAAAATGGCTCGGCGGTCGTTGGTGGAGATGGAGATGGAGAGCGGAGGCAGAGGCAGAGAAGACAAGGTCGAGGTAGCGAACAAGAAGGAGTGCAAGGAAGCACCATGAGGAGCCACCTCCCCAATTGTTTACTTCCACTTTGGGGAAAGTTGGCTGTGGCCCCGGGCGGGACGGGTGATGGGCCTGGAGGTACGAGAGTACATCGCAGGTACTTCCAGCGCCTGCTGCAGCAAGTGCAGTTAGTCCAGGGCCACGAGACGCTTGAATGCTAGCCCAGCCACGCTAAATTTCACCCCGCCAGCGGTGCACACCTTCGTCAGCCCCACTCTCTGGACATCGTCACTCACTCGTGGTTTTTGACTGGTGGATAGTATCAGAATCGAGGATGATGTCCCAACCTATCAGTTGGGAGAGACTAGGAACCAGGATCCAATGCCGCGGTTTTCAACGACTCGAAAGGTGGCTTTTCTGTCCACGCAATTTGGCGAGGCCACTCGTTCGTGGTACGATGTTTCAACGGGGCTGAGTGGACAGTTCAATGAGATGAGTTTGATGTGTCAGTTCAACTCTATCTTGGGGGCAAAACGGCCAGGTTCTGTTTGATCTTGAGGAATCTCAAGATACCTCGCTTCTTACCCAGGGTGAAATCTCAATATCTGATTTACATATATCGAAGCTCGATAGCCGAGAGGCATTTCTTACAGGAGTTGAGAGATATATCTGCAATCCATGAACTTTGGACATGCCTTTTCAATGGCCATTTCCGTTACTTCCACTGGTCCAACGGTCGAACGGCCTTTTAGCCCCCAGCGTTCCTCATCTTCATTTCCCCTCGGAACATGACACCATTCAAAGCTGGGTCTCCCCTGCTTGTCAACCTCTCAACATCTTCTATTCTCAAGGTTATTCCTTCGCACAGTTCCTTGTGCAACTCGTGTGGCTTGCT